TCGACCATTTCTTCGGAACAACTTGTTTCCATAACTGAGTGCTAAAAGGGGAAATTTTAATGGAAACTGGAACTCTCAAGAAAATCCTGCTGGGTATTCTAAAGGCTATGCTTTAATGAGCACACAAGTAAGTTACCTTGGAGAGGAAAGCTAGCATAGTAAAGAAGGCACAAAGGTGATAATTAAACAAGAAATCAATATGTTAAATATGGAAAAGGGGGGCATAACTTGGAATGAAAATTGAATCTACAAAATGAAGAAGACTTTGGTGAAGAAAGAGGTAATAAGGAATTATTAGTGGGCAGTAGAGTTTCAAACAATAAGAAGGCATTAGAAATGTATTAGGAACAAAAGACCAACTAAATCAGGTATAGATTTCAGTCTTGCAGAAAGAAACAGAACAGATCCAGTGGCGGAAAATCAAAGCTTGAAAAATTCAATCACCATAAAGATGCAGTGAGAGTGATTACACGTAGGAATAATTTCCTATTGTAGGTAGGTGGTAAGCTTGCCATTGCTAGGAATTTAATCCAATTGGATACACTTTAATCTGACTCTGGGAACAGGCTTCTGAGTATAGGGTATCTGTGAGGATGGCTGTAGAGGTCATTTCTACTGTGCAATCTGTACCTCTGCGATTCATATTTGTTCTTTGTCACTCTCTTCCTTCATAAGCTGTGGAAGAGAACAGAAAGCTCTCGCTGCCCTCAATATGTTCCACACACTTGGCTCTGCCTTAAGACAATTACAAAACCTCATGCTTCAGGGCTACAGTGGCTGCTGACAAAGGGCAAGAGACTGATTGCTTAGGTTAATTCTGGATGTTTTAATTTCAAGTTGCTCTGAAGCATTAGGGATGGGTGCAGCTGGTTGCAAAACTTTGGCAAGCCGATGAAGAGAGGCCCTCTCTTTTGGATCGCTGCTACCTCAAAGTCAGAGCAGCAAGGACTGTGAAGTTGTTTTCTTTCATCTTCGTCAGGCATATATGAGACTGTAATTATGATCATTTGGGCATATCTTACATAATCAACACACTAGTGTTGCTGGAGCCTGAGACAGAGGCATCTCAGTCTTTTTTGGTGTTCACATGAGCTTAATTTTTTCAAGACTGAGAATTTTATTTTACAGTATAACTCAATTCACTGGAGAATACAGTGGTAAGTGGGCAAAGCGCTGCATTTAAGATTGCAAGTTGCCTGTTCTGCTTTAAATTCAACTGATTTATAAAGATCCTGCCAGCTTCATTTTGTCACAATATGAGTTATAGGTGACAAATACCATTCCTTTTTTTCCCAATACTGGCTGATTTCAGCCGTGATGCTCGATGGAGTTGCAGGGCTGCCACGCATGCTGCTCAAGTGCCTGTTTGCTATGATGTGGAACAGCTAACAAAGGGCTTGTTGTGCTTGCAGCAGCGTTGCCTTGAGTTCAGATTTTTTTTTCCTGCAGTGCTCTCTGCCTTTTGTTTAACAAAAACCTGCCTTTCAAAAGCAAAAATAAGAGACCTTAGAGTTCTTACACCTTGCTGGAAAGGGAAGATGTGATAATTTTTCTTACTGTTTTGGTTCTGTTGTTTTCCCATAAGGGAAAGTGAGGCTGTCAGCAGGCACTTATCATCATCCCGCTACACTGTAAAAAAAAGACGTGCAATTTCATCAACATCATGCTTTCTTCTTGAGCGTTTGAAGTAAAGGCAGCCTCATCTTACATGAACCAATGTGTATTCTTTTGTATTTATAAGTTCGAAGGAAGGATGCATCTTCTATTGCTATTTGTTGTATGTAAGTGAAATTGGCACCTTCATATGTTAATATACATATTGGCTTATCATGGAAGTCACCTTACCATCCTCTGTTGTACAGTTTATCATACATCATTGCTTTGCATTGTATGCAACACTGACTTACAATATACATACATGGTTAACTATGTATAACTGGGTTACAACATACCCACCATGGAACAGATAACTGAATACCTGTCTGCAGTTGTATGTGTTTGTGCAGGGATCTGTACACATGAGCTGCAAGCACAGGTAAATCTGGATGGAAACTTGGAGGTTGGTAAGTCAAGAGAGATAATGGGAAAAACCCAACAGTTCCAGATCATTCATTGAATGATGTAGCTAATGAAGAATTTTTGTTTCTTGAGCCATGATACATCCATGTTCTTCACATTCAAAAGCACTCCTGATAAGATTCCTCGTTTCTCATTAGTTTCTCCACCAGGGTGATACTGGTAGTTTTTCCCAAGGCTTTACACTGCTATTGCTTGGCCAAATGACCAGAGATGACCCAGCAAACCCTGTTCTGGAGATTCAGGCATGCAAGGCTGCCAACTGGTACATGTCCAGCATGGTCAGCAGCTGCTACCAGTTGAACCCATCTTACTGCTCTTCTCCTGTGCTAGCAACACACATTAATTACTTTGGGATCTACATTCCGTGATGTGCTAAATGTTGTACAGGTCTGTTGTAAGATCTTACTATTTTAAAAATGTCTACTCAATTCAATTTAGTTGAAGCTGAACAGATGTGACAGAGAGACAGTACCATGCATGCAAGCTTCATTTCCTCAGGAAGCCAGGCTTAAAAAATCTACCTAGGAAGACTTTCTGTAACTGTCTAGAAGCTTGCTGTTAATTATCAAAATGAAGAAGCAGAGTGAGCTAACAGCGTGTTGATTTAAACAATCAGAATCTGTATTTCAACAAATAGACCTGTTGAAAAGGAAAAGTAAAGTAAATCAGATTTGGGTGCAGTGTAACATGTTTAGCTTCTGTATCTGGCCTTATACTAATGGTCTCCAACCCTAAAAATCATTATCTACCCAAAATCTACAAGATGTAGGAAAGATAAAAGGAGCATTTTATTCCTAAGGCATCAGAACACTTCTTAACCTCTAGCTGAAGGCTGTTTGTTCAGACTAGGTCAGCCCGAAGCAGGGTTATGTTCCCCAGTGTCAGTGTTCCTGGGACTCAGGCAGCCCAGCACCCTTGAAAGATTGCTGCTCCACCAGTTTTCCTGCCAAATGTGCCTCCTGTCCCTTCCTGCCCCACAACATACCTATCTACGCCTGCTTTGCAGAGTCATTGTGGATTCAATAATACAAGAAGATGAAAAAGGAAAATGCACATTTCTTCCATGACTGTCCCTATGGCTAGACACCATTTTAAAGGCTCTTGCACTTCTGAAAATGGAGTTTTGGTTTATTTTGAGATCTAGCCTTCTGACATTTGTTTGCTTGCTATGTTGTGAGGCCAGCCAGGAAGTGCAGATTTTTACAAATCGCCTCTTGCATTTGGGTTAATCCAGGCCTTCCTGCACTTTACTTGGTTGTTGTAAGTGCATCTTATAATTTATACAGAATGCAGTTCATCTGTGCTGTGACTGGAAACATTAAAAGAAAACATTCAGTCATCGTTTTTGCATCTGGTGATGTGAACTGGGATTTTCAGAAGAACCCAGAAGAATTAGGCATTCAAATTTCATTAAAATGCTGTGGAAGTGAAGCATATAAACTCTATTAAAAAGTGCAGTCATTATCTATAACTCTTTTTCTTTCTCCATTTTAATTTGTGCATAAGTTTGCTTAGGGGAGAGTTGAGGACAAGGCCGGTTTTGCACACCCTCATCAGGGCTAAGGCACAGTCACATCTTAGTCATTTAAACCCATTTTTAAATGCAGCTTCATGTGCTCATCTATTAACTGTTTTTGTAATTAAAATATTATTTTCATAGCCATAGAACTGCTGTAAGCAACAGATCAATAAAAATGTTCATATCAATAGTTTGGTGAATATGATTTTGAAAATGTGTGGTATCTAAAATGTGAATGATTTGTACCTTTTCATCTTCTGAAGTCACAGAATCACAGAATGGCCAGGGTTGGAAGGGACCTCAAGGACCGTGAAGCTCCAACCCCCCTGCCACATGCAGGGCCACCAACCTCCCCATTTAATACTAGGCCAGGCTGCCCAGGGTCCCATCCAATCTGGCCTTGAACACCTCCAGGGACGGGGCATTCACAGCCTCTCTGGGCAGCCTGAAAGTGTTCATGTATACACAGCTAAATAAAAGTCACTTCAGAAAATAAAATGGCACTTGAGAATGTAAAAGAATTGGATATACTACATTTAAAATACAAGGAAACATGACTAAAAATTACATCTAATATATTTTCAGAGGTCTAACAACTCAAAAGTATGGTCTATATGCAAGAATAAGTAAAGTCAATATAACAAATGTATTGAAAAGCAAGATGAGAGATCAGTTGCGTGAAGAGTGAGTAGGTAGTAGTTTGTTCTGCAGTCAAAAGGACAGATGTGGCACTCCAGCATGTGCTTACTGCAGGAAGGAGTTAATATTTTTGTCAGCAGGGTTCAGCCCCCACTTCTTGCAAAAAAGAATTAATGGCCTTTCTGCCTGGTGATGAAAATAGATGCCAAATTTAAGTTGTTTCTTGAAGGCAGATGTAATTAGATCATGAAACTTCTGGCTTTTGAGTCTGAATAATAGCATAAGAATGCCCACACTAAATTAGAGCAGGATACTGTCTCCTAACTGTTTCTTAGGGGTGATGACAGGAGCAATGCAAGCATGAAGTGACACTTTCCCCAATTTCCATCTGTGTGCAATGCACATAGTCCTTGAACTGTGGATTTAAGAGCATTATATATTTAACAGCCCTTTCTGAATCCTTCCTCTATAGATTTTTCTAATTATTTATTAAACGCACTTACATTTTTGTCAGCCACAACGTTCTTATAGCAATAAACTATACAGTTTAGCTCAGTGTAGCTCTGAATTGTGTGAAAAATATTTCTGTTTGATTTAAGCTACAGTATTTGCTGCCTACTAGGTCTTATGTACGAGAAATAAGGAACAATTGTTTGTTACTTTCTGTGGGCTACTCTCAATTTTATATACAGCTATTATATTTCCTCTTAGTTATCTCTCTTGTTGATTTTTGTTGTTGTTGTTGTTGTTGTTTTTTAAATAGGAGAGCACTTTATTGAGCCTCACACTGTTATGGGGTTCTACTGCTGTTCATCTTCCTTGTCCTGCATACTTCTAATAGATCTGCGGTCAATCAGAACTACATGCAGTGCTTTGGATGCGGGTGCAGTCGGGGTTTGTATGGTGGTGCAGTGGTTTGTCTTTTGCCTTTTCTTTCTCCTATCTATAATGGTTGCAACATTTTGTTTGCATTTTCTGTCTGCTGGAGAGCGCTGGACAGATGTTTGCAAAGAGGTCTTAACAAGTAGTCCAAGATTCTTCCTGGAGTGATTATTTATAATTTATCACAGTGTATGTGCAATTGTGTGTTTTTCTCCCCCAAGTGTATTTATGTGTGTCTATCGATAATAAATGATGCGTGGTTTTATGTTACTGAATCACTCGGCATTCAGTATGACAATGCCTTTTGAAGTATTGACTGTTGTAAGCGATTTCTATCATCAGCAGACTTAGCCAACTCATTATTAATCCCCTTTTCCAGATCATCTGTGAATGTACTGAAGAAAACAAGTTCAAGTGCGGATCCCTGATCTCTGGTCTCCCATGGTGAAAACAATTTATTACTACGCTTCAACAAATCATTAATCTACCAAAGAATTTTCGTCCTTATGATAACTTAGTTTCTTTAAGAGCCTTTAGAGAGAGATCTTGTCAAAACACTTTGACTTCTGGAAATCCGAGAACATTACAGCAATCCGCATTCACCAACATGCAGGCTTCGTTCAAGAATTGTAACATCGTCAAGTTCATCAACCCATGTCAGGCTGTAAAACGTACATTTAGTCAGGTTTCTTCTGCAGGTATGACGTTATTTGTGTACCAAAAATAGTGGTGAGCACTTTCATTACTTGTACAGAGGCTTCTAGCAGTTAGTGACAGTTTCTAAGTGAACTTATTGCTATGCTGCCAGAAACTCCAGAGCGAGGCACAGATTTCCATTGACCCTGAATGCAGCATGGTTTCTTTGTGATAGAAGTCTTCTATTTATTTTCCATAAATGACATATCCCTGAAGCAACAGCGAGGGAATGAAAGTTACATTTTATCACTGTAACATTTGCAGAAAAGTGAACTGCTAAACTCCCTATTCATAATGAAACTTTGACTAGCCATGAGTTCTTAAAAAGCTTACCTGCAGGTGCATAGCTTTTTTTTTTTCCTTTAAAAATTTATATCTGAGCCTTATGAACTTCTGATTAAACTTTTAAAATAAATTAAGGGTGAGAGGATTAGACAGGGAATTGGAAATGAACTGTGGTATCTTTTGCCTCTAGCTCAGCATTTTGAAGGCAGCCCAAATGAGATGTGACAAAGTGCAGCGCTCTCGTTTCTTTCTGCTGACCTATGTGTAAGTGGAGTTTGGTCTCTGCCAAGTTCTTTGTGTGAACAGCCACGTCACCATCACTGCTGGTATAATTAGCAGTAATTAGCCCTTTGTTGGAATTTAAAATAAATAGGCCATGATTTGGATATCAAAGCGACTGAATTATCCACTTAGACCATCCCCTCTGTGGGTGAACAGCCTGCTGCTCCCAGCCCTCCCTTTCCCACAAAGTGACAGAAGTTATGAAGAGCTGATTTAAATGGTGGATATGTCCAGCCAGTGTTTTGCAGAATGCCATGTCCTGTTTGAAATATAAACTGTAAAATCCCGCATGACCGTCCCTCAGTGAGATAAATAAAGCTATGTTTTAATCTGTTAAGGGCTGTAGGAGCTATTGGGCATTTCCTTCCTGCCCTCGATGGAGGTGTGAAGAGTTCCAGAGGAAGCACTCACCAGCGGATGTTCAGAGGTTCCTGCTGCCTCAGCTGCCATCTGAACTTCCTATTGCTCTTTCTCAGGAGAAATTATTTCATTAATCTAGGTTAGCCCTATATGAGCATGTCTCTGTTTCTTACCTTGTTTCTGCTGCCTGTCCCACTGTCCCACTGCCAGAGACTATATTCAGACCTGTAGGTCTGACTCCCAGACGTTTCTCCTGGACTTTGTACACCACTGGCTGTCCTAAGAGAGGAAAGAAAAGTGTACTTTTCCAAGGGAGCACTGGATGCAGCTTTTTTTTGCATATGTGCCATCCATGGGCTCTCTGGTTATCTCCTGATCCTTTTCTCTTTGCTTGACTCTGAAAGCCCAGCTGATTCTTCTGTTCTCCCCAAAGCATCTGTGGATATTTCTGTAGCTTAGTTGCCTCTGTCCAAAGTTTTTCTTTTTTTTTCTTTTTTTTTTTTTTTTTTTTTTTTGAGAAAAGAGAAAGTCGTAGCACCTGAAAGTGTGCCAGTTTCCCAACCACTGATTGCCAGTCATTGGCTGGGTCAATAGAGACTGGGGTGGGAAAGGCTGGTCTTGCTGCAGGTCAGAGCAGGGCACATGAGATTTCTGATCAGAGTGTGCTGGCACAGAAATCTGTCAGTGCTCTTCTGGGGTGGTGGTCATTGTCCTAACAGCATCTGCATTATGATAATGGGAAAAAAAAGTTAATACTTGTTTCGCTGGTGTATTTCAGAACGAATTACTGTTGGCATTAGAGCCGACTGCATGCAATAGAAAACTGCACTGCTTTAAAAATCCTATGTGTTACGCCAACAGTGTAAGGGTATCCAATCTTCAAACACAGACACATGGTTTCAGAGAACAAAAACGCTAGGTGTTGATCTGGAAGAGAAGCAGTGTGAATCTGCTTTTCCCATATTTTCAACTAATGGCTGGCTATTTTAAATCTTTAATTTAAACAAATATTTGGATTTAGTTTCTGAAAAAGCAAAAACCTGCCAGCTATTTCAATGAAGGCAACGACTTAAGCTGTCAATACATCATTCCTGAAACAAGCATAATTTCAGCAATCAAGGAGGAGATATTTCATGTTTCCCACATTAGGTCAGCACTTTCATATAGAGAGAGTTCATATCATAATGATGTGCTCTGTGCAGGTGACTCATCTGCATCTTTTGGAGTTCAGACAAAGTGTCTGTGTTAGCTCTCTTTCCTCTACTACCTTCCACGTGTTTTCCTGGATTCATAACAGAATGATTCCTTCTGTTACATAAGACTGAAATGGCTTCTCATTTTCATTTTCTTTATAGATAAAGAGGCTTATAAATGTATTGAGTTACAGCTGAGGAAGCTAGAATACATGCTACATGAAAACCACCATAGATTGTTCCCAAATGATCTTGCTTAATTAAAAATTGTTTTTGCTTTGTGGTGGTCCAACTATTTTGACAATTATTTGTGCTACAGTGCAAAAGTGGAAATATAATCACACAGGGCTGAAGATGTCTAATAATGAAGTATTTATATTGAGTTCTGTATATGCCAGCATGGCTATGTGAATGCAATACACAAAGCCAGATGTACCATTTTAACTGCACAAGAATATATACAAGTATGTTTAAAATGGGTAGTGTGACATTTATGTGTATGTGTGTAGGTCTCACTGAAAGTAGTGCCTCCTACTTGTTTCCATGGAAGAAACAACTGATACAAAGAGCTCAATAACAGTATTTGATAGAGCAAGCCTTCAGCTGCAAAACACTATTTTTCAACATTGTCACCACTATTAGCTGTGCATTTTCACCAGGGATGAATAAGAGCCTGTGTGCCATGCTCATAAGAATCTGTAGCAGCAGAGATGACCCACTGTTTCACAGCTGCTATGATGGCATTGTTGCTAGAAAATGTTGCCCATGCAGTCCATCTTTCATTGGCCCAGACAGATGGAAGTCAGAAAGTACCAAACCTGATAGTAGGGGGATGTGGTAGGACAGTTCAGCCAAGGTACAGTATTGTACAGTACAGTACAATATAGTAAGACCTTTGGTGACTGCAACTGGACTGTTTCCATTTGAAATCTTTTCAGATGCGCTTTTCCCATTATCCTTACAATTCCATCTGTGTGCTTGTTTCAAGAAAATTATATGATTTTTTGGTTTGAGGCAATTTTATCTTCATAATCTTGTTAACTTTTCTCCAGCCTGTCACAGATTTGCTGACCAGTAAAGAAGTCCTTCTGGAAAGCCAAAACACACTGTTGTGAAACAGGCTGATTTGAGTTGGATTTTGAACAAAACTGTGCTCTCCACTTCATTAGTTTTATTAAGTGAGATAAAAGGGTTATTATAGTACTGTTAAATTAATATCTCATCTCTTGATGGCAATCATGCTTATGGCAAGACTGTTACCACCACTTGTAGTGCTGGAAAGTACTATGAAAACTCCAAGAAACCAAGATCTGACTATACACCATCAGGTAATATCTCCACGTTAATGTGTGGAAGGAGAAATGAGTTCACCTCTTTTGGAGTTAAGAAAGATTATGGTCATATCAAAATTTATGCTAGCTTCATTTTAGCTGATACTGAATATGAGTATTTTTTGCAGTGCAAGTTTGAATGTAAATGTTAGCATTTTTTCACACTTTTTAGTTGTGAAACAGAAATCATTGAATATCATGAGAAATAAGAAACTCCCCCTAAGGGTACCATGAATTTCTTACATATTGCCACATCCTGCCAGCACTAAACAGATCTCTTAATTGCACCTAATCTGGGTTTCCTTAAATACAGTTCTGCAAGCACCTTACCAATTTCTGTTTAGCAGCAATGTTCTACTTCACTCAAACTCCTGAGGTGGAAATTTCTCTATACTCACTCCCTGGGAGGAGCAGCTTCTAGGAAAAGGTGGGAATAAAACTACTTCCACAGTTATGTTCAGCACTGTTTGTCATCATCTCATGATGAGTTTAGAGTCCTGAGCAAAAGCACCAATAGTGTTTTTGAGTAAACAGACCCTCAGACTAATGTTTCACCTCTCACTTCTGGTGTACCAGAATTAGATTATGACTGATGAGGTGGAGGTAGAAAACTTTGCTGGTATTCTGGCTTCCTTAAATTTAGCTTTCCAGTACACTGTCAAAAAGGTTTCCTGAGTTGCTTTCTTATCATTATCTTCATGTGGCATTTATTTGCGTAATTCATTGTTTACTTTCAATTTTATTCCACAGCAATTGCATTCTTTTTTCTAACCGTTCCATTTTGTAATCATGTTGTGAATGAAGCCAGCCCAAGAAATGTTTCTATTTATAGGTGGTGATGGGCTCCACAGCCCACCTTTTGATAAGTAAAGAACAAAATTGCTAAACTGACCTGTTTGGGCCAATCTAAGGGAACATGTTATCTTTAGTCCTTCTTTTTGTTTTGATAAAAACCTTTCCCAAGGGAAAAATGTCAACATATAACTGAAATTAAGCTTGTTGCAATCCCTGCTCTGCCATGCAATTCATAAATTCATGGATCTAGAAAAGAGCTTGAAAGGATGTTATCCATCAGAAATGATACTTCTGTATGTGCAGTGCCTATCATAAAAACTTGTGTTGGCTCTACATTGAATTAGCTTGTCTATGAGTGTCGAATCCTTTTGGGAAAAGATGAAAGAACCATAAAATAAGTTTATGTTGCTCAGTACCCAAATGTTATAAGTGGCTAATACAATAAGAACAAAGCAGTAAATTTGATCTTTTGCAACATGTATATTTAACAGCTATAAAAACTACTTCTGAGTTTGTTGATATTACACTTTTGTTTTAGGTGCTGCCTGCCATATATCTGAATTACTTAGACCTCTGAGTAAAGCTAATCTTTCTTCCTAGAACCAAGCATATAACTTTTAAAGTGACAAGAAATCCCCCACAGAAATTACAGAAAAACAGAATAAAGCAAATGCTTGCTATTCAAGAGGTTTGCCATCACAGTATCTGAAAACCTTATTATAAAGGTAATAAGCAAAGCATGACTACTCATCTGTCTTATTTTGTTTTTTATCCATCTTATGGAAAAAGAAATGTGCATATTAGAATATTACGTTTGTTTTGATGAATTTTTATCCAGTAACATATGTTGTGCTATGCGAATGTATATATAAATGAAGAAATATGCTTTGCATTTGGAATAAAAGGGTGTCAACCACTTTCTAATTTTTATGAGGTCCTCAGGAAAACCCTAAATCTTTTCTCCCTACAATGAGTTGTAATCTTACTGTGTAGCATTCATTGTGTAATTGTTGACCATGGTCTTTTCTCTGGCAGTGTATTGATCTTAGTCCCAGGACATGAAATGCCTTACAGAGCAAGACTTAGCACATTCATTGTCCTGTGGGAAGATGCTGGAGAAACTGTAAAGCCAGTGGGTGGCATTTGCAATAGCTTCTGTTGTGGAGGAAGGGATCTGCTGTCTCTGTAGCAAACTGGAGCCACCACAGTGCTACAGATCTCTATCCTGGGATGCGTCATCCAGCCAAGGCCAATAGAAGAAGCTTGAGTAACTGAGGTCTGCTGGCTGGCAAAGTGTCTTGGGTCCAGCTGGCATCAAGAGAGCGCGCTGTGCATGGATGTTGCCCTGTGAGAGCTTTATAGCCCTGACGAATGCAGGAGTATTGCTGGAGTGTGGACTGAGTTGGTAAACAAGTCTTATCTGGGTGAAGGGATCTGCACGCTCAATGCTAAACTCTAAGCTCTTCCCTCTGACACAGCTATTGGCTTTTTGATTGTTTATCCTTAATCTTATGTAGAGATTGCACAAACTGGAAAAAGGTAGTGTGCTTTGTTTTAATAGGACAGACATTTGAATTCTGAATGAAGGCTTTGAAAACATGAACTTGTGACACTAAACTAACTCTGTATAACCTTTGTGTACTTGCTGAGTTATTTGCAGAATTAGTTTTGGGTTATCTTTTTTCTTCTTTCTGGGCAGTACATATACAGTGCTGCAGTATTTCTATCCTCTTATCCAGGTGCAAATGGGATCAGAATCAGGGAAGGGAACCCAGCTGGCATTGATTTAATCATGCTGGCACTGCCCTCGTTCCTTCCCCATCTCAAGTACATCTGATGTGATTTGGCATCTGGGGTAAACTCTAGGCAGTACTGTGTGTGTGTGTCAGGATACTTTAGACCTCATTGCTGGTTAAGGTGTTACTGTCTGCTCTGCTTTCTAGAAACTGCCTCTACATTTTGGCATTATTAGTTGGGTTTGACTTCTGTGGCCCTCACTTATAAGTATCTTAGTGCAGAAGTCATTTTTCTCTCTCTGTTATAAACTGTGTTCAAGCATAGTCTTTAAATTTGATAAGTAGATGTGCCACAGTTTTGAAACTCTCATTTCCTTCACTAAGCCTAAAATAATTTGAGGTAGTTGGTTGTGTGGACAAAGTTTGATCCTTGATTCATACAGGAGCTGTTTTGTGATGTGTATTCCATCTAAATGGTATGGTTTTGTTTCACTTGTACTGACTTTGTCATGTAATGAACACAATGGATTGGATGCCTTAGTCCAAAAATGTGTTTTTATGGCACAGTTGCCTAGAGCACCAAATTTTTGCACTTCTGTTGTGTACAAATCCAAACAGGTAAAACCCACTTGCTCTATTCATTGCGTTATGTGTAGATTTAAATATCTTGTGTGCAGGTATTAGTCACATTCCAAGACAAGTTCTTAAAAAGAAAGTCATTCATATTCCACAACATTAGTTTTCAATTATTGCCTAACACATTTAGTACTTTGATGCCCTTCAACTCTCTAACCGTATCTCAGTGGAAGTCAATGACTATTTGCTTTACTTTATCCAAAAAGACAAAAGTAGTTTTATGTCATTCCTAAATCTGCACATCATATTAAAAATACAGTGCTTTTTCTGCCTGTTTTATACTGTGTCCATTTTGTGTCACACATGGAATCTCAGTCAAAATACTTCAAGTTGTTTCCTTTCTTGCATAAAACCTTCTCCAGCCACATGAGGAATTTACTCATAAAAAAACCCCCACAACACTAAACACCAAGTAATTCTGTACTAATAAGTGATCCAATAAGCTTTCAATTCAACAGCAGTACAACTATTGCCTCCATAAGTAAAGTTGGTACATTTTGAAGGAGGGGAAGAGTACTGTAGCTTGTTTTCAGAATAGGCAATTACCTGTATCACTTACCTGTACCACTTAGGTTCTGGAGAAGCAAGGCTGTGAAGGCTCTGAAATCTGAAGATACTCCTATTTTGTAGAAGTTGGTTGTACATATTGCCACTATAATGATTCTTAGGACTTCTGAAATGTAAGGAACATGCAATGTTATTATCTTGGCAGTCCTTCCCAGGTGTCTCATTAGCTAGCAGTCCTGCTCATATCTACTGCCACATGTTAAGGGTGCAATGGCCAGAATCCTTTTTACAGCAACAGAGCTGTAGGGTGTTGTCTTTCTGGCTTTTCTGGTAGTAATTTCTGCATTTTCAGTGCAAGGCTGGAATTTATAAGTTCAGTGATTGTTTTACTCATTGACCATCCAGAGTTTATACATACTGGCAAATCTGGCCAGTCTGGAATGACTGAATCTGGTAAAATATGGAATGACTGAATCTTCTGTTAAAACTCAAAGTAAAAAGGAGTATTTGAGGTTTTTCACATTCAAGTTTCCTCCATCTCTCAGTTTTTAGTACTTTGTGTTCTTGGCAGCTTTTGGAAGGTTCAGAAAGCACAAACACTAAAATATATGGGGACACTTCAGTTACAATTATCTTCCCAACACTGGCAATCCCAAATCAACCTCAAACAGCCTGAAAAGAACTTCTCAACGTGAGAGGAAATTCCAGAGAATTCTATGCAAGCTTAAGTATACTGGTAATGGTATTGCAATTTGGAGGATGGCCAAAGCAATGCAGGAGAGCAGGATGCACAGAACTGTCAGAGTGGAGTTCTAATAAACAATGGCTGCTGCAGGTGCCTAAGTGTTGGCAGTGCTTTTTTAGCCCACTGCAGGACCAGCAGTGAAGAGACTGAACCAGGAATGACCTAAGAACAAACCAGGAAGCTGGGGCAAATTAAAGTCAAGAGGTTTCTCACCTTTACCCACTAAGCCAATCTCAGTAAACTCCCAGCAGTGAAACAGTTAATGGAGGTACTACAACAGCTAGTTTCAGATTGACTTGCTTAAGATATTTCTGGCACAGAAGGGAGTTACAGAAACTTTTTAACATATTCCCACGTGCTGGTGTTTAAACAGAAATGAAGAAATAGAGCAGGACTCTTGGGGTGGGGTGGTCATGTTTTTCTCCTGCACCGAGTCTCACTAAAGCAAGACTTCATCCTGACAGTGTAAGCAAGAGCGTGGTCCTCATCCCTTCCTTCAGCTCAGTGCTCTGTGCACATCCCACTCAGGAAGAAGATTATGGTGTTTGCCCTAGTCAACACGTGGGTTTACCAGGCTCTGTGCTTCCCCACTACTGGATCCAAGAGCAAAGTGTCAACTTTTTGCTTGGTCTTCTTGGTCCTTGTGTGCTACACTCTTAAAAGTGCAGATCAGGCAGCTATCAGAGCAGGAATTATAGCGTTCTAAAATGCGACAATTTCATATTTCACAATTAAACCGATGGGGACATTAAAGAAGGGTTGCTTTTGTAAAAGAATACAGCATGGTAAGAGATAATCTGCCTTTTATTAGGTCAGCTGGAAATAAGGCTTGAAATACGAATTTCTGTGTTTATACAGGATAAAATCCTATCCAGTGTTTCTGATGTCACATAGTAATATTGGATGGAGATAAGATGATTTACATTTATTGCATGTCATGTAATGTAATAATCACCTAAAAAAGCTTTCCTTTCTCCTGATTTAAAAGGAGATCACATTGTGCCAGGAAAAATATGAAAATAACAGATTTTGTGAACAGTGGGTATGCGAATGTATATTAGCTTACAATGCCTACAGTTTGGGAGAGCGCAGAAAAGATGTTTATTCTCAACCTGATTTTTTTGAATGCTCAGTAATAAAACAGGTACTTCTAAAGAATTTAAACTGGAAAATTAAGGGTTTTATAAAACAATGACTAATTTGTGGAGGTGTGTTTTTTAGCTAGTTTTATATGCTTAGATAGCGGTAGAATTTGCCCTCAAAGCTGTTAAAACTATAGTAATTTTGCACAATCAATGATTTCTAACTGTATTTATCAACCTTAGTATTTAGTGGTCCATGTATATTGCTCACACATCAAACTGTATGAAAAAAAATAGCACAGCAAAACATCAGAGTGACAGAGGCAAGGTATATCTGTGTATACACTCTATCAACTTTTTATGTAAAGTGTTGTTTCCTAATGCTGGGATTTTTCATGCTTTGTTTTCCCAACTAAGATCAGGGCCGCTGGTGGAACAGCTCCATGAAGAGAAATGTAAGCAATGCTTTCATGACTAATTCAGAGCCTGTGGGCTGGAACACTCATTTGGGTAATGAGATAATATCACCATCAGATCTTAAATAAGAGTTTCCAACATTAGAGTATGAACAACCACGCTACTTGCAATGCAATTTTTTGTTCTATTTGGTGTTGTCCTGGAAGTACTAAATCATTTCTCATCAAGGTGTTTTCAAAATCTCATGTGATCTTTATGGTATGACTCATTTGACAGCATTTCTAGTGGAAAACCCAGTAAACTCTGGGCTGCATTCCAGTAATATATCACACATGATTGTTTTATACAAATTTGGTAGACTTGAAGTGACTTAGACTGGTAGACTTGAAGTATATATGGGTCCCATGTTTGCCACCTAATTCTGTTATTCATTTAAAAGCCGTGCTTCAAAAAATGTGGAATAAGGTCAAAACAGATTTGAAATTAAAGTTAGATCTCTGTTATCTGTTTGCTGTTTTTCTTGACTATATCATCTATTTAAGTTTTAACTTTTAGACCAGTGATAGATTGAAATGTGCTTTGTTTTTGTTAATGAAAGGTGGGATTTCCTTCTATTCCCTTGTGTCTAAGACTTGCATCTCTAAGGTGGCATGATGAGTCATTATAATGCTAAGAGAAGTGGTAATATTTCTCAAAAGAAACTGGTATCAAATGATGCACAGCGATCTCTTGATGCTACACTGTTGTGGTGTCATTGGTGGGAAATTCCTGAGTGAAATAGATTTAAATAAAATATAAGAATTTTAATAAAAAATTGAATAAAAGAGAAGAATTTTGTTTTTTTTTTTAAATATTTTTGTTTATTTTATTGCTGAATTTCAAGTGTTGAGCATGCTGTAAATTTTAATTTCACTCATTCCATACAGATGAATACAAGTGATATTCTGGGCAAAGAAACCACACAACAACATGATCTTAACTGTGTGGAAATGGTGGGGTCTGAGTTCAGTGTTACCACATAGCAATGAGATCTTGGAATTGTAATGAATAGTTCTTGCAAAAGCATCAGTAGGAATAAAAAATATAAATTGAATGTTAGGAATTATTAGAAAAGAAATAGAGAAGAAAAGAGACTGCATAAAGCCCTACAGTCTGTGTTCCTTCTTAAAAACGGTGGTACAGAACAGAGAAAATTCAGATAAAGGCAATAAGCAATGTGCGCTAGCGTCATCACATAAATGATGACTCAAATTTTGAGGAAAAAAAATGACCATTCTTCACTTCTTTCCATTTAGAGATGTATGAGCCCAGTGCTTAAGCAGTTCAAAACAAGCAGGAAAAAAAACACGCCTAAAAACAAAAACAAACAAACAAACAAACATGGAAGATCCCACCACTGTCAACTAAACACAAAGACCTTACTGCCTGCAGAGGAGATCTCAAATACAGATCTTCTGGAGGCTGAGAGTTCTTCCGTGAAAATCACTACATGTTTCCATATTCTTCCCTAGCCATCTACTGTTGATAATTGTTGGACACATGCTCCTGGGCCAGGTAGACCTTTGGGCAGACAGTATGGCCATTTGTGTGTTCCTATCGTACACAGTAGCATTAGAAGAATTTGTCATTGGGAGGGCAGGAGTTTTCTGGTGCTTCTTAAATTCAAGGAGGATGAGACTGAAGGGTCAGTTCATTCATTCAGGTGCAGACTAAATTGAATGAACTGATGATGGGATGAAAGGGATGAAAGGAAGGAGCTGTGCCTCTCAGAACTTTTCTTACAGGCTGCCTGAACAGAAAATAGACCAGGGGCTTGGGTAAAAAGGATGCCAGTAAACTTCTCTGAGATTATTACTGGCAACAAGCTCTCCTGTAGCCTGCGGTGAGTGAGCTTGATTTTTCCCTGCTGCACTTAACTTGATAATCAGAGTTTTGAGAAAAATAACTGAGACTAATATCTGCACTGCCATGCTTTAATATAAAATGCAAACAAATCCTGCGATTCTGTGATTCTGTTGTCTTTCACTTGCCATTTGATAAGGCAGAGGTGCTTGGTTCCCATGTTGCTCTCCTTTGATGGGTAAAAAAGTTTAACATCCTATTGAAGAGCTTCCAGGCCAGTGAATGTGCCTAATCCTATTCTTATCACTATAGGTGCAAACAGAGTGTCTTTTTAGTCTCTGTTACTCTGCTGATCAGAAAGAGAAAATGTGTAAATATAGACTTGCTTATTTGACAGAATAGCTGTAGTTCTGAACTGTATTGGAACAGCTTGAAAAGCTCCTGGTGCCTCCGGAGCTCAACAGGCTGCACGTCTCAACTTACATCATGTAGAACTACCCAGGCAGTTAGTCACTAGAAGTATCCAAGCTCAATGCTCATGTTCTTTGAGAAATGTCAACATTTAATTTTTGTTTTTCCTCAAATTTAAACAAAAAGACAAAATTCCAAAATTTACTGAGAAATGACATTTGGGACTTACTTTACTGGAAGTCGTCAAAAGAACAATTATCAAAGATTTCGTTTTACTGAAGTCAAAAGTGTGCTTTGGTTTTATTATTTTGATTTTCAAGTAATAACATATTTGAAACATTATCTTTTATAGTCTATAACGATTGAAACAATGAGGTCCAAATGAAATCATTTAACCTTTTAGAAGTAATAACAAATAATTTTCTTTAAATTTTTTTGGATGAACTCAATAGAGATCGTTGAGTCAGTGCTTGCTAATGGAAAACAGTTCTTCTGGAAGTGCTTCAAACACTCCTAGCAGGATATTAGACATTTAAATTCCAGCATGAAGATAAAAGCCCTCCCCCCAAAAAGCCTTGTACTCTGAATAGACAAATTACACGAACTAAACAAATGTTTATGTTTTGTGCCTGCAAATCACACATGAGTGCTTGTGAATATAGTCTAACACATTTGACAGTTCTGCTGGTCTTAGTACTTAATTCAGCTTTTTTTTTTTTTTTTTTTTTTTTTTTTTTTTTTTCCCTCTCATTTTTTTCACAATATCTCCTTTCATCTTTACTTGCTAATGCTGGCTATAGTCCGTGTTATATTCCATCCCAAACAGTAATGCTCACTAGAACATTTTGAAGTTAAAATAATTTTCCACTATTGATTTATACACCACCATATTACAATGACTCTTTCATCTTTGTCTTCAGAAGGTATTTTGAAAGCTGCAGACACTCAAACCTCATACCTTGCTAGGAAAAGGAACAAAGGCTGAGCACTATTTAGCTCCAAGTGTCAATCAGGACAGAACAAGTTAAATAGCAGCTAACACATTGGCAGATGAGTAACGCAGAATGGTTACTAAGCAGTGCTGAGTGCTGTTTGTCCTAGTCTACCTCAGCAGCTTAATGTGTTTACTTATTCATCTGCATCTGTTAGGGTGTAGCCATTGTCAGTAATGGGTAATTTTCCCAGCAGAGACACGGTTTTGGGGTTGTCTTACAAACCCATCCAGACCCGGAGGATATTACTGTGATTAAACTAATTGATTTCAATAGGTGCTAATCATGCAGGCTCTGGCAGCACACAATGATGAAAAACTTCAGTATTCAGCGTCCTTCAAACATCAAATTGGTATTGTACTTCTTTCAAATTCTCATATAACGATGAGAATTTTTCCATCCTGATTTGGGTATCTATTTGGCATTTCTATAGCTGTATACCACACTCAGCTGGTTCCCTTTATGAGCCCCAATTTGCTACTAGGAAGTAGCCTGTGGATAAGACCAATTCTCATCAGTGTATGGAGACGTCACTATTTAACGCCTATTACAGGATCTGATTAAGCTACTGGAAATTACCTGACAAGTTGCCCCACATGTCTGCTTAAACACTTGCTCCAGAGGTACTATTGACTGTGACCTAACTTGCAGAACTGGCTATGAGGATGGCAGTTTGCTGCTTCATGGCTGGGCTTTTATCAATTCCAATTTAAGCACAGGGTGACTTGCTTTTCTCCTCTTCGTGCTGGCAATAAAGGAAGCAGGGATGAGGGTGAATGCCGTGAGTGACAGCCTGAACTGAAGACTGCACCTGGGAGCCCAGAGATGCTTTACCCAGAGAAAATGTAGAATGTAGCATTGCTGCTCCCTCTTACTGGGAATAGCCTTTATTTCATTGCAGCTTTCATTTCAGACTGTGCTGGCAGATGAGGGATGCAATAAGCCTGATTAAATTTCCATGATTTATGTATCTGCAGCACACAGAGTCCATAATTAAGACAATGGGGGACAGAGACCCTGGCTGCAAGGTGCAAGTACAGAAGTTCACGTCAGATGACAGGGAGACGTGTAAGTGTGAGAATACAAGTTAAAATTGAGGCAGTACTGATCAGCACGTTGGCCAGTAAACTCCATACATGAGTATCTTCTTGCTATCTTCGTAGCCACTTTGAAAGAAGGGGGAGTTAAGGCAAGCGCCTGTAACCTATGTTTGATTACCAAACTACAGAGAGATGTTGGGAGGTTGATTGAAAGAGAGGTGAAGAGTGGTATTGTGAATGTTTCCACATTCACAAAGTCAGCAGGAGTGTGGGAGAGCGTACTGGTTTCTCTAGAGAGCTGAAGGAGGAACCAGGATGGTCTTCTGACTGACCCACTTCAAGGAGAGGAAGGAAACTGTTACCAAGCAAGGCAGGTGACGGCATGATTGCAAGATGAAGAGTCAATTGTGTTGAACAAAACTGGCAGGTCACAAAGGATGGGGAAACAGCAAAGCTGAGCTTGGGCTAAAAACAGTTCTAGAGAGAATAATTTGTAAGATCAGCAGGAAGCTCATCTTTTCCATATCACAGATGCATGCCATCCTGCAAGTAAAATATATGAATATCTTTTACATACCATAATGCGTATACTATAGATGCTCTATAACTTTGAGGTAAGTCAAAGAAAGGACTCGGGAATACACAAGGTAGGTCCCTAGAACAGAACAATGTGATCACAAATTTTTAAGTAGCTATACACTGTTTGACAGTATCTGCCAAAGCAGAATAATGTTTATTGGTCCCACTCCCCCAGCAGTTGACATCTTAATTTCTACCCCATCAAAGAGAGATGTTGGCTTTTGCCTGAACCCCCTCACTCCTAATCTCACCAGTGAGATTAATGTGGGATTCCATCTCCGCCAGACAGTAAGACTTGGACTACCTGGAAATAAATGAGGAAGCCTGGCAGGGATATAACAATCAAATTAACAAATTTTTAAGATTAATACTTCTTAGCAATTGAGGAGAAACTCAGTAAGACCAAACAGCCACGTGCTGAGGAATGGATCTGAGGATGGGAAAAATCTCCAAATAGGTGGTGAACTATTGTGTAAGGGAAAGCATAGTATGGTTTAACTTTTACCACTGACTTATGATCTAAGGCACACGTGTTGCAGTACCCACAGCCATGCAGCTTGGCCTTGATGGACTCCATGACTGGAATGGGATGTGGCTGATTTTTGCCTTGTGAGAAGAAATGATCATGCTACCAGTTGCATGTGGCATCTCTCCTCTGGCCATGGCATCTGTCTCTGTAGCTGTGCTCCTCTACCAAGAATGATATGCAGCCCTGAAAGTCAGGTGGTCCAACTGGTTGGCATGGTGTAAGGACAGACCAACCCACATTCCTGAAGAGGAAGTGGGCACTGATCACGTTGTTATAGGAAGATACAAGCCTTGTGCTGCATTCTATGACATGAATCTCTTTTGTTCTGATACTAAATTACTTTAGCTCAGATGTCCCTGATGCATTTACA